TAATAGGGAGTGAAAATACTTACACGTGTTACGATCACCATGTTCGTCGTCCTTCATTTACTGATCCTGGGTTGGCATCCAGGGACAAAGGCCCGTTCCTCAACGCTGCTGCCGCTTGGGTTATTCTTCTGTGCCGAAAGAGAACAAGTGGAAGAGTTGGCCGTGAACAACAATAACAAAATACGAGTTAGCGCCTGTGGCAACAAAAAACCGGCTTCGAATAGTAGAAAAAATTAAGGTGAAGTTTACGGTAAATTGAAAGAATTCACAACTTGTCGCTGACTTCGTTTGTGGTCCGCCGTCTCGTTTTGTTGTTCTTGCTATCAAATCGCTTTCCTAGCTCGAGGTAAACGTCTTTCTTTCCTCGATTTGGCCAACACACACACACACAAAACGCCAGCAAAAGTGGCAACTCATTAACAAAACAAAATCAACAGCGAATTAGTCATCAGACTTAAACGCATCCATAAAACTCATACTTTCGATACTTCTTTTCTTCTTAAACTAAGGGAAACCAGCCCAACCGACCCAAACGAACCGATACGTGACCGAAAATCCTATAAAAAAGTAAATAAACCTTTACACCTATAGACATGCAAAAAAGGCCATCGAGCTATTTTCACTTTTTAGCTTCAAGTCGCTTCGAACAATCAGATTTGACCACGAGAACCACCTGAAAAGGAGGGCCTAACCGAAATCGAAGGTCTCAATGAGCTGCGTTTGTTATGCAAATTACTTGGTTTTCATTGAAAGAATTTACTTTCATTACTTTGTACGGCTTGACAGTAGCTTAACAATGTTTTCGATTTAAGGCGATAGAAAACCGAACCATCTTCAATTAGATATTTACGAAAAGAAAATAGAAAGGTGTTGATACCGACAAGTTAGGGAGAATTAAACCTTTAAATATGATATGAGCTAAAGAAAATTAATAGCACAATTATAATAACCAGTTTTACCACTGCCATTAAAGTAATCGAACATACGGCGTATAAGTAAGCAAATTTGAGCTGATTATAGGCCTGATTACAACCATAATTCTTAAGTTTAATCATTTAATCTGGAGAACTCGCACTCCAATCAACTTGTAGATCAGCTTTTTAAGCCAACTACTTCATTTTCGAAGCCAGCCATGAATCAGAACTTTCAGGCTGGCGTCATTTCCCAGTCGGTTACCATCGAAACCGCCTTTCAATTGGACAACCCAGCCATCATTTAGCACATGGACTTAACGGCTGCCTCCGCACAGGTATGGTGTATGGTGTATGGTGTGGCATGGTATCAGCCGTAGTATAGTTACACATTGAGAGGCGTCTCTCCGCTCCACGGTAATTGCAACATGCCAGACAAAAAAGCAGCAACAGCTACGGAGCAACCAAATTTAGTGGCACACGGCGGCACGTACACTACTCGTACACATATACCAGTCTGGTTACGCTCTGGCGGTCAAAATACGAGTCTAGTGCACATAGGGAACCCATCTATCCGCGATCCACACTCGAACACAACGACCACCATATAGACGACCTGAATTGTCGGCTGGAGTTCAGGCATTTAACTGAGACATATGTACATATATTAAATAATATTGCTCAATACTCGTCGTCCTGTTATCAGCACCCAATCTAGTAGTTTAATGCCCACATTGCCTTGCAAAGCCCCACTATGCACAAATACTTAACTGTAGAACCCGGGAAAGATTTCATTTATTCGGAACTCTGTTAATTTGGTATTCATTTTGCCTTAAGAATTGATACTTAAATAAATGTTGCTTGGGGGCGATTGACTTTCCATCATATCTACCATATCATATCTGTAGGGTTTTCAATTTGAAGAGAGCACTTCAGCTAAGCACAGTCATGGCTGAATTATTTAAAAACGATTGCCTAATTGTCGTACCTGCTGTTATCATAATTTCCCCGCAGTGCAAGTAGAGATAAGCAGCGAAACATCAAACAAGGTGTAAATCGAGCTGTGAGGCAGACGTAACTCTGGGCATGACCAAAAAATGCTTAAAACTTATAAGAATCGAGCGAAGAGCTTCTAAGAATTTCCGGCTTTGCAGATTTAGCAGCGAATAGTGATGAATAGCCCTCAGTGACGAACGACGAGCACGTATCTAAGTGCATATCTTGCAACCGTGTGTATATGTGTACATATATATAAATATATATGTTTGTATAGGTAAGAGAGTGCGTTTTAGTAGTCTGAGTTGTGAGTGATCCAAAAGTTCATCGAGAGTCATTAGTGAAAGTTCGTGTGTGGCAGCCACGTACAATTACGGTTTATGCCATCTACTCTACATACAGACACTCGGCCATAAATTATCTACAAACATATATCTATGTACATATGTATGGCCAAGTGTTTAATATAACTACTTTTTGTTCACTTTGACTTTGACACTTGACATCATGTTGTCACTTTTGAGCAACTTGTGGCATAGAAACATTTCCCGAAAAATTCATGTTTGCATTAATTTAAAAAAAAAAGCAATAATAATCCTGTGTTTTCACATTATTTATAGGTTTATTGTAGCAATTTAGTTAAGCCCTTATTGTTTTATTGGAGAATTGAATAATTGTAATCTATGGAATAGGAACGGGTTCTTTGATTAAGAAGCAAATTCACTTTTGAATGCTCTTTTACATTATACGTACATATATGATTTTTCAAAATTTAATATAAGAAATAATATTTACCTATTCCTCTTTATACAATTTTTACTTAAATTTAATAATTGTTCGTTGTTAGTGTGCACCTTTAGCAATTTACATTTTAAAAACACCGTTAGTTGCCTAATTTTTCGTACTTTTTTTCTAGTGACTAACCATTTGCTATCAGAATTCTTTTTCGCGAAGCGTATTTTCTCACACAATTTGCTTCTGGTTTAACAACTAAAATCTTCTACAGAACTTAACGACTCACCAGCGACAGCAACAAAAAAGTGGGCAAAGTATTATGTTCATTTTTTTATTATGTATTTAGAGAAGACCTTAAAAAAGTTTCACCAAACAAACAGAAAGTCGCTGCGTGCGCGAAAGCCCCCAGCAACAACAACAACAAAAACTATCCAACAACCCAAATGGAAACGCAAAAAAAAAATAAAAAAAAGGTTGAGATGGGAGAGAAGAAACAAAAACCGGCTAATGAAAAGCGTTTATTTGAAAAAGGGTTTTCCAATTGTCCACACACGAAATGTCCCGTTGTGCAACAGCAAGAACAACAAACCGGACAAACAAGTGTGCCTGCGTTTTTGTTGTTATTGTCAATTATAGAACTCTTGACCGCTGCACTGCAAGAAAAGGCAAACGCCTTATGTCCAATTTGCATATATGTAAATGTAAATGCGTTGAATAAATAATGTACCTAATAATTATTTAAAATTTATTAACGATTGGGGCAAAAATAATTGACAGCTACAAATAATACAACTTGCTGATTAGATTAGATGTTAAAATATTTTCACAAATCTGAAGCATATTAGTTTTCATAGTTATAATCATGATAGACAATAAAAGAAAACGTTTTCAACAGATATATATGTAAAACACACTTTCTCACTTTTTAAGGTCACGAACTTCTAAAGTCTTTTCAAAAATCATTGAAATCAAATCATTTCGATTTGATATCGTTATTTCTTGCAGTGCGGAAGCCTGGTTCAAGCTCAAGGAAAAAGAGAGGGAGAGAGCGCGCTGGCGAGAGCGGGCGGGAAAGGGACGTGGCAGAGGGGGGAGCGGGAGCAGCACCCATGAATGTGTTGCACTGTGAGCCGCTCTTTACGCATCACTCCCTCTCGCTCGCTCTGCAGTTCTTCGGCAGGTGTACCTGTCCGTGTGTGCGTGCGAGAGAGTGGGACTGCGCGCTTGTAGTGTGCATGTTAGTACCGTTCTAGCCAACGAAACCTGAAGCGTAGCTATTTAATTTGGTCACTCGCCTAAAGCAATAAAAATGCAATGCAGCCACGTCTCCGTCTTGAAATGCAATAAAATCGATGAAGTTACACTGAACTGATGCTGCGGTGACCCTTGTCATTTTCCCCACTGGCTTTTCTAGCCACAAGCAGACACACAATTACACACACCGATTGCCAGGGTTAATGCACTCTTTTCATTTCGTTTCGTTTCTTTTCTTTCCAATCACTCTCTACCTTAAATAGCCGCCTCAGAATTTGCACTCTCCGCTTTTCGGTCACCGAATTCGAATTCTAATTGGAATCGCTCTCGCCACAACCGTTTAATTAACACTTTTCCGGACCCGTCGAAAGCGGGATATGCTTTTTCAAAAACAGGTTACATAAATAGGTCACGCACCAGCAGTCGCAGGAGAAGAGCAGCGCGCCGAAAGTCCGCTATTCCAGCACAGTTAAGCCGAGCAACAGGTGGATACCAGTCCTACAGAGCACTGATCATTTTAGGGCTGCGCGATTTGTTTATTTTTTTTTGACCGAGAGGACAAGACTTGGAGCGAAAAATAACAACCGATAAACTGATCAATAAGAGTGACCAGGTGGTGGGGCCAGTTCCGAATGGCCTAAAAAATCCGCGGATAACAAATCTTGTTATGCTAACGAGTTAACATTAGCAGGGAAACTGAAAAAGGCGTATCTGGTCACACTGTCGCATTAACAGTGCGATCGATAACCATTCGATAGCATCGATACCAAGATGCGTGAAAATCGATAAGTCTTATCGACCAAACTGTTCTAGGCGCGAATTTCGAAATGACTGCCACTAGCTTTTTCATTTTTCAAGAAATTTCTGTTTTGTTTGTCAACAAATTGAAAATGGCGTCAACAACCTTTATTAGCTCGTTGAAACGGATTGTTGATTACCTCATATATACGAATTGCGATAAGTAGTTAGTATATTATTGTTTTATAATTTTGTAATTAAAATCAAATTACGACGCCCCATTAATTGCAATTCGGGCAACAACTAATCCATTAAATTGGGCCACCATCGCATTGAGTGGTTAGTGCATCCAGACTATTAGCCCCGATGAAGTACCTCTTGTGGATCTGCTTCCTTTTCACCGGCGAATCCCACGGATACGTGCGCCTTACAAACTTGGAGTGCAAAAGCTATGACAAAACATTCATCGACTTTCCCGCATGCCGACTGAAAGTGCTTGGCAGGGGAATCATCGGCGCCAACATTCATGTAAAGTTTCTAAAACTGCCAATAAATAGAATGGTCGTGAGACTCGCCACTTATCGGAAGCTATCCGGATACCATCCGTTTCTATTTAATGTTACCGAGGAAATCTGTCGCGCCCTAAAGTACCCCAATCGTCTGAGAGTCTTCTACTACTTCTACACCGCCTTTTTGCCCTATTCCAATCTGAATCATACATGTCCTTACAACGTGAGTACTTTGGCCAACATGATAATCAATCATATCTATATAAACATTTATTTTAGAATGATGTCTTCATAAGGAACTGCACCCTGAATGATCGTATGTTTGCAAAGGTTCCATTGCCAAAGGGCATCTATAAGTTAACCCTCGAGATGGATGATGGTGTCATGAACTGGGTTTCCATCATAAACGTCCACTTTGAAATTGATGTTGACTAAGGGGAACACAGAGGCGCATTCAATATGGCAATATATGATGTTTTTCAACTTGAATTGCATGTGGTATCTATAGGTATGCACTCGGTATCGAACTGATTGGCTTTAACACAAATGAGCTCATTTTATTTTCCCACAGGGTCTTTTTAAAGATATTTGTTTGTATGCACACATTAACCGGAAAGCTTAATCAATTTAAAACCAAAAATATATATTGTCTTAAAACTGATTTATACCAAATACAACGAAGATATATTTATTTCCCATTCATTTTTCAATTAGTTCTATGGCAGAGGTCCGACCCGACTAATATACTACAAATAAGTGCTAGTCCATACTAAGTTATACAAGTATTCATATTTAAATACCACACTGCCCGCAAGTATCGGCGTTATCAGCCGCGTGGTTGTTATCACCGGTGTTTTCTCAAAAACAAAAAAACAGATTGCGTCGACAAGACGTCTGCGTTTTATCAATAGTTAATGTTTATTGAAACTTCGCTTCTTCTCGTTTAGGTTTGGTGGTCAAAGTAAGCGCCTCTACGCATTGGGGCAGCAGATATAAAATGTGTTCTCGCGTGTCTCGTGTCTTTACAATGTTTCATTTAAGCATATGAAGGATGTGTGTGTGTGCTGTTTTGGGATTGATTGATTTATTATTTGGAACAATCATGGGAGTTAGCAGAACTTCCATCGGTTGCCGCACTCGTTGCACATGACGAAGGTGGTCATAGGTTCATCGGCGGAACGGGTCTGCAGCTGATTGTAGGTGCAGTTGCGCTTCTTGCACTTGGCGCACTTGAGGAGATCGGTCTTGGTGCCCTGCACGGTGGCCAGCTGGGCATCGTTGATCGCCTCCTTGACGAACTTCTCGCGCAGCTTCTTCATCTCATCGCTGGCCATCTCCTCGGGCGTCATTTTGGCCAGCTGCTTGGCAGTGACGGCGCCGCACATAAAGTTCCCGCGCAATCCCGGATTCTTGGGGTCCTTCAGATTGGCCACGCGCGATCGAATGCGATTCTTGTACTTCATATCCGTGTTCTTGAACTCGGAGTAAATGGCATCCTCCAGTTCGGCGGCCATTTCTTCTGGCTCCCCGCAACCCTCGGGCACTTCGCCAATCTTCAGTGCGGCGGCCAGCATTTCGCGGCATTTGATGCGGACCGCATCTGTCATGCCGCCGGAGGGAAACGAGGACTGTGACGTGGACGATGAGCCTTTCTTCTCCTTATCCTTGGATGAGCTGGATGAACTGGACTTGTCCTTGCCGGACGATGACGTCGACGACTTGGCGCCGCTCGTTGACTTCGATGCACTGCTGTTGTTGGTGGAGCCCTCCTTCGCGGAGCTGTGGTTCGGAGTGGTCGGCGCCGGGCTGGCCAGGAAGCGCTTCCAGTTCTTGATCAGGGTCTTGGCCAGCGCGATCACCTCGTCGTCCTTGCTACTCTTGCGCAGCTCGTTCACGGTCATGCCGATGCGCGTTTTGGTCAGAATGTCCAGGTTGATGTTCAGCGTTTGCAGGGCCTTGAGCAGGTCCAGTGCCTGATCCTGTCCCTGTATGGCGGATATGCGTTTGTCACCAGGTAAGCGGATTGTTAGCTAATCTCGATACTCACTGTGCCGTCGCTGGCCATCTTGCTCATCTTCTTTTGGATTCGAAACACTTCCTCCTCCACGCTCATTTTGGCCCAACTCAATCTGTATCGGAGGTTAGGTTAACTGACGTCGGCTACCGGCTATATGGTCAGTGCTGTGGGGCTGCGACAGATGTTTATGGGGATGCCGGGCTATTACCTTTTTTTCCCTCCAATAAATGTTGTTTACTATTTTTTTCGTTTCTGTATTCGCAGAACGAGTTGAAAGAATACTCTAAGGCGTTTTAGTAGTACCGGGCGGCGGCTTGTCAAGAAATACCTACCCATGGCTACGGCAGGCGATTTCCAACTGGAAGTTGTTTGAGTTTCCGAAGTCATCGGGAGTGTTGCTGTATTTTAATATACATATGGGTTTTTAGCGAATGCACACACCATTTCGCGGTTCTTCCAAAGACTCTAGAATAACAAGATGCGTAACGCCATACGATTTTTGTTCTCGAATTTTTGTTCAAAAGCCGGTGAGAGAGCGTTCTAGAGACAGCAGCTCTCTTGTACGCATACAGGGACAGTCAACCACTGTATGTGTGCACACATGCTCAGGTATTGTAAACTGGACAAAATATGCCCTTCACTTTACAAGTTTATGGGCTTATTATCTATATTATTTTTGATCGATTGCCAATGTACATAATAATACCTAATTAATAACATAAATTACTTTATCCTATAATAATAAAGTAATATTAAAGTATTCAGCTTGCGACGTGAAAAAAAGTTTGAAGTTAGTGATTCTTAGGTTATTACATATGTCCTGCCTCAATAATAAGCTAATGGTCAAACTACATGGTCTCTACACATTTTTAAGTCAGATGACGATGTTATGTTGCCAATAGATTCGATTCAATTATATATCAGCGTTGCCTTAAAAAAAAGAAGCAAGAATATTTTGTATAATTTTCAGATATTCTACAGGGCAATGAGAGGGACTTTGACCAAAATATAAATGATTTTTTGTACCACGATGTACCCATTGAATTAACTTCCAGTAGATATTTTGTTAGATATATTGCTAAGGAATCCAGTTGCGATAAATGCAGATCGTTGATTTTTAAAGAAAGCGAGCTCTACCAGATCTTTTCATACATGAGAAAAACTACACGATAGAATCGGAATTTGAAAAACTAAAGGCACTGTATTTTTTTTATTTTTTATTTATTTTATTTTTGCCGCCAACAAAAATGTATGGCCGTTACGCATCTAGTTATTTGAGTTTTCTAGCCTGCACTGCTTGCAAGCAGTGCTACCTTGTATTGCTGTGAACAGCGGTAAAAGCGCTAAAATAATCGTTTTCGAATTAAAATCATAATTAGAATAACAGTTCTTATTTAAATCTGAGATGGTTTCAGTATTAGTATTTCGTTAAAAGCTTAGTCATATTCCATTTGTCAATGGACCACAGTTTTATATAGAGACTATCGATATTTTTAAAGTGATGCGATAGCCGCATTGGTTATTCCATCGTTAGCTCTCACGCTCACGCACACTTTTCTCCGATCCTTCTTAGTGTTGCGTTTGCGCCAAGTGCTGTTGTTAAAAGTTGAATTTCTAAAGTGATATCTAACTTAAACAGCATCTCAAAGAGCACGGTAAGTAGCAAGAGGACTATCTTAGCAATTTGCAAGAAGTTTTAACCTTTTTTTTTAAGTTTGGGACTTAAAAATTAAATTCACATTAAAACTTTTTCAATCATTTTAAAGTTTTTCAAAGTGCGGTTGTAATCATAATAATTCTTCTTTTTTTATAATAAACACTTAAGTTTTACCCCCAATGCCGTCTTACATTTTGCATATGCTTCATAAATTACTTCTATTAAGCTCCTTTTGACCTTATTCGTCCATTTTCGGTTTTTCTTGTGTTATGTTTCCGTTATGTTTCAGGGTTGTCGAAGCGCCATTATGTAGTTGCCACGGAATTTCTTTCTATTTGACTGAAGCAATTCGGGAGCTTGGCAGCCCTGTAGCAAGAATTCTTCATTTCGTTTCCTTTTTGCGTTTGATTCTAACGGGATCTCGAAACGTCAAAAATAAAAAAGAAGTCCGCGTGTGAAAACGTAATTCATTTTTATAAATGTTTACGTTTGATTTACGTTTTGAACATAGAACCTATTCAGCTTTTTCTATCGGCCAAACATTTTTAAAGAGAAATTTTCTGATATATTGCTTTTAGTGTTTGATCTTATATTTATTCGTTTTTCTGTTCTGGCTATTCCCTTTTGAGGCGTCATTCTCCTGGCGTTTGTTTGCAACTCTCTTTTCGGTGCGTTACTTTGTTACATTTTTGCATTCCATCTCAAACATTCCCATTGAAAGTACTAGAAGAAGCATAATAAACACTTCATTCATTGTAGGGTTCACATTTTTAATTTTTCTGAATTTGAAATTCTCAAGAGAAAGCATTTGTTGCAACAAATCTAAAGAAATTTAAAACTTATGTGCACATTAAATCTTTTCGTTCGTCGTCAATTACCATTCGCTTGTTGATCTTTTATGTGTAGCTCCTCAAATTACATCCCGCTCCTTCATGGTTTTTCTTTCCTCTCCTTTGCCCAAAAATTCTGTAACTGATAAATATTTTTTTTTTTCGTTTCTTTATTTATATCAAATAAATGTTCTTGTTTTATGTTTAAACGAGTTGCTCAACATTTGTTGAATGGTTTCTTTGGGTCAAAATACAATACAATATTTCAAAAAATGTATTTTCTTTTTCATCTACGTTTTTCTTCATCTTTGCTTTGTGTGTTTGTTTTGCCGTCATAAAATTGATTTTACCATGTACGAATATATATCTCATATAATTTATACAGTTTCTAGTTAATATAGGCAAACGATTTTACAGGGATCTTCAAATTAGCGATTTCGGGAGTGGTTTTTTCTCATCTGAATTTTTCTCATTTCCTCGAAAGCTTCCCTCCAACTATAATCTACTTATTAAAGGTTTCTAATTTGCTCCAATAGTTAATCAATATTTTTTGTTTTTATTTCTTTAATAATGCTTAAATTAATATTGTTTTATTTTGTATTTCAGTGTGTGTGTTGTGTTCAGTTAGGTATTTATAATTAAAAGTAGTATATATGATGCATAGTCCGCTTTATAATTATTAAATTTAAATGTTTAATCATAGAATTTGCATCCAAGAAACACAGTTACAAAGGTTTTAACACTTACTATTCTTTCGGTTTAGGGTTTCTTTCTCTCGATCTACTGATTTTAATATTTCTCCATTTTGTTTTTCTTTATTTTAAATAAAAGTTAACATAGTAAAAAATAATAAAACGTACATTTCTCTACGAAAATGTGATTCGTAATTGAACAAAAAATTTATGAGTAATGAAAATGCTTTTCTGTTCTCTCGATGAAAACAAACTATTGTAATGTAATTAGTGTATTTTGCTTCTTTTCATAGAAGATTTTATCAGGCCGTGATGTTGTATATTATATATTTTATCTTTATTTTATTCGCCTTGTTCACTGGTTAGCGACTGTATTTGTTTTTGTTTTATTAGGTATGATGATTTTTTGATTAAATGAGTGGTAATAACAAAAAAAAAAAACAACTACATCAGGTTCTGGTTGATGCAAAAAAAACAACTTCTATGACCGCCCCTGCCGTTTTAGAAAAAATCTCGAAATAAATCTCGTATCGTGAACAGCAGTTACTAGATATAAAATCCATAATGAGGATGACTTAGCCTGACACTGACTAGTTTACACGAGGTCACTTGCTTGATCGCGATTTTATCGGGTAAAATCTGATTAGTTGGCCGCGTATAAACTAAAATTGCTTTTCTTTCGTGTGTTCTCTTTTCATATATTTTTAAACATATGTATAATTTATTATCCATTTTTTGCTTAGCTTGTTGGTTGGTATTTTTTGTTGCTTTTGGCTTATATGGCGGCTACAATTGTTTCGTAATTTCCCCCTTTTTTTTGTTTTAGGTTTTTTAAAAAGTTTCTTGTCTGTGATATACGTAATTTATAAGATTTCATTTTGGTAACTTGCTGCTGCATTCATTCTCCATCGTCAGTCACCAAAACTGCAATTTGAGGAACTACTCCTGCTCAAACAATCGATTTAAGCCAGAGTGGGGAACTGAAGCTCATCGTTGACCTTGGGAGCGGTATTCTGTTGTCGCTCAAAACGCTTATTCTGCCCTGGACCGCTGTTCTGATTGTTGTTTTGGTTGTTTCCCGGCCCGCGACGATCGATGGGTGGCCTCTGATTTTGAGCGGTTGAAGCACCACCCTCGTTATTATGCTGCTGGCCATCCCGTGGGCCACGGTTTCCACCACCCTCACGGTTGTCTCGGCCACCCTCACGGTTGCCGCCATCGCGATTGCCGCCCTCGCTGCGTGGTCCGCGATCAAATCCGCCGGGTCTTGGACCTCCACGGCCACCGCGACCTCCGAAACCGCCTGGTCCGCCACGGCGACCATCATTGAAGTTAAACTGAATGTCCAGGACGCGCTGCTGCCTGCCCACACGCTGTGGATAAAGGGCAGGATCGTACTCGAGCTCCTCTTCGCTGTCGTTCTCCTTCTTCTTGTTGCTGGTTAAGACGACCATTTTCTTCCATTGTGTGGTGTCCTCACCTGCGGGAAAAAATTGATTGTAGATTGTTTTCATAAGACTTTAGTTTACTATTGTTAAGCTAAGATCCGTTTGGAATCTAAACAATTTCCTGTGATTTTACTTTATAAACGAATTTTAGCTCAACATGATTTTTAAGTTTAATTTAATGGTTAGTCGCAAAGGTATCGAATTTGTATGATTAGCTATATGAAATGATGCATTGCACCACCCACCTTCTCCAGCCTTGCGGATGTTAAAGGTCGGCTTAATGCGCTGTCCTTGCTGTGCCTTCCACTCGTCCAAGGTCAGCTCTTTGGCCTCCTCCTCGGCAACAGCCTGCTCGCTCTGTGGTTCAGTGCCCGATTCCTCGGCCTTGGCGCCAGCCTCAGCATTGGTCACATTGGTCTCGCTTTCGTTCTTGTTCACATCATCAATAGCCTCTTTGACCGATCCCCAGTTGTGGGAACCAGCTCCTTCGCGTTTGTCAATTGACTTCACACCTGTAGATATAGTACGAAATGTTGCATTAATTAATATTAATCTACTTCTACTTCTTTTCAGTAACGCCAACAGAAAGGAAAAGCAGAGCTCTAAGATACATTGGAACTTGCGTTCAAGCGGAAAGTAAGTCTTTCTGCTTAATTCAATTAATCAATTTAATATTTAAGTTATTAAACGGATATATGTATGTATTTCTAGCAGTAGCAACTTTATCAATACCCCCACTAATTAGGTCAATTGTAGTTGCCCATAGAAATCTAACCACGATAGGACTTTTTACTGCCCTCGCCTAGTGACAGATAAGCCGACAGCCCCCGTTCACTGTAATCAGATTCAGTGGGGCTGGGGGAACTATTCCATCCCCATTCCCATCCCCGTTCCCTTGTCCCCCAATGAGTATGCCTGCAAAGGCCTCCTACAAGCACTTGCGTTAGACGGGAATGCCGCCAAGAAGATGGGCGAACTATTTTTAAAACATTTTCTCTTTCAATTTGTGCCGCAGTGCCTTCTTGTTTCTGTTGCTGCCGCTGTGATTATAATTTTGGATATTCCAAAAACGAAACGGTCTAAGCAGAGCAGGCGGAAAATGTGAGGAAATAGATTTCATTCAATGGGTAGAAGTGTGTTGTAGCTTGTTGAATGTTCTGTCCGACTATTAGTATTGATTTGACTGATCATCCCCCACGTGAGTGGCAGATTTGCCTCCCTTCCTTAAATAATGCCCATAAGCTTACTGAGGTTTTGTGTGCCACAATTGGTTTAAACCGAGCTGCCGCTTTTTTCCTCCATTTGCCTGGCATGTACCATATCTAACTATTAAATCATTTTGAAAGCGCTTATAATCCAACTAAATATAAATGACATATATTTGCAATCGCCCAACAGTCTGCTCTCAGAGCAAGCTCATAAATATTAATACAATATGTATCGTTATAGTTTGACATTAAATCAATGATCTTGATTAGAGGTACGATGAAAAGTTCACATTATTTATTTAAAGGAATTCTATTTCAGTTACCCAATACGAGTTTCGTTCTTTTAGATATTTGTTGGGTACACAGAAGATTTGAGGCATGTTGCCTAAAGGCGGCTAATAATTTCTCATGACCATAAACATGGTAATTGGTTACGTGTAAACTGTGGATGGAATGTGCTTTTCCTGCGTTGCCCTGCTGAGTTTGATTTTCTGGTTGTCATGGAGTGTTGTTTTTGGTTTATTTGTTCTGTTCATTTTTTCTTATGGGTGGGCGGGCGCGCTCATTTTGTGGTTATGTCTACCGTGCCCCTTGGTGGTTCAACTTAGGTTTCGATCTGATCAACAGAAACATTTTCACATTTTAAAATGCTCGAATGCGAGTGATGGAATGAGCTAAAAAACATACACATTCATTTTCCAGGGGTGTGCTTCCCATAATTTGGATAGATTTACTCCCAAAGTCCAATCTTCAAACGTTTTAAACTGTAAACAAGCGAGTTTACCTTGCTTTGTGAGAATGTAGAGACAATTGCATAGCTCATACTCTTAGATATCCGATCTAAATAGTATCTGGTGATCTAAACTGTATCTATTAGACCTGACCTAAGCCTTTTGTACTGCTATTTTGCATTAATGACTTAATGGAATAAGCACACTCACCAGTTCTATCGGAACCCGACTGGCGATCGAATTCGCGCTTCCTGTTCTGGCCATCGTAGTTGCGGTTCTGGCGCTGGGGACGATCTCCGCCAGCACCTTGACCGCCGCCTGGGCCGCGGTAAGGTCGCGACTGCTGGCCGCCATCGGGTGCTCCACCGTTTTCGCGAACATTGCGGCGATTGTTGCGCTGCTCACGAGTCTCGGCATTGCCATTCTGTTGACGGAAGTTAACGCTGCGCTGCTGCTGGCCACCACCTTGTCCTTGTCCTTGACCCTGTCCTTGACCCTGTCCTTGACCGCTGCCAAATTCACGTGTACGGTTGGCGCCACCTCCTTGCCGTGGAGCACCCGGTTGTCTGTTGTTGCTGGCATTATTGTTGAACTGTTTGTCGGCTGATGATGGGTTGAACTTCTTGCCATCGGTCTTGTTTAAAGCATTGTTGGGCTTGTTCTCCTTTTCGGCCTGATTTGGTTTCTTGGCATTGGGTCCACCGATATTGGATCCTGCGGTCGCCTTATTATTGTTGCTGTTGGCCACCTTGGCGGTCGTTTTGGTGGCCGCTGCAGCAGCTGACGTCTGCTTCTTCTTGCCAGCTGCTGCTGCTGCAGCAGCGGCGGCCGTCGGCGCCACAAGATTATCTAATGGATCGCTGACATCGTCGTCCATGAACAAAAGTTCATAACGATTTTTACCGGCGCTGTCCATGATTTTGTGGGTGGGTGTGCTTTTCGTTGCTAGCTGGCTGCCGCTTTAATTGCCTGTTTTCTGTAAAAAAGATAGATTTACACACAGTTTTAGTGGGAATTGATTGATTTTCCTTTTTCGCCCGCCGTCTCTCACACCCATTGATATTCGATAGGTATTTCATTTTCGTATCACAAACTATGGTCTAATATGCCCCAAATTCGCATACATTAATGATTTACAGCATAAACTCGTGGACTAACGTGAATTTTTGCAATTTATTTAGGCCTTTTTGGTGGATTTTTCTTACTTTTCTGCTGGCTGTTTGGTGGCTGCTGCTCTCTAACCTTAATTTTCAGTGTTTCTTCTTCGCCTCGCTGCTAGTATTACCTACACACACTGCCTCACGCGATTCCACACGCACATGGGCCAAATCACGCACACAGCCAGCACGAACCGAGCGCCCCACATGTGTTCTTGGTATACATAGAAAAACAGAAACTCACGTTTTCCACGCGTTTCGCTGCGAATGCCGACAATCGACTCGAATGGCAGCTGTGTTTAGCGTTCTCTCGATTTGGCGGGCACCTTTTAGTTTGAACCAGTCATGGCATCGGCTGGAAAATATGCGGAAAAAGCAGTACATTAAATCAAATGAATTAAATATTTTATGAGTACCCAGATTTTAATAGTTCAGAAATGGCCAGAATAAGTCATTGGCTGTTTTCTGTTGCCCCCCTTGTACGCATGGAAATAAATTCATTCAATACTTATTTAGAAATTTATTTTATTTATTTTAGCCAAATTAAAAACCACCAAAATGTCAGACTGGGACGATGAGGTTCGTATCGCTTCGTGCTAAGATTATATGCTTATTAAACTCGGAAATTTTAGCCCTCTGCGCAAACTAGTCGCGGCGGTGGAGATTGGGATGGTGCCGCGTCTAACAAGCCTGGGGAAGAAGTATCCGAATGGAGCGATGATGAGCACAAGGGCAAGAGCTTCGGCGGCGGAGGCAGAGGAGGAGATGGAGCAGGCTATCGAGGAGGAAATCGAGATGGGGATAGAGATGGAGGGGGTTTCCGCGGAGGACGTCACGAAGGAGGCGGCGGATTTCGTGGTCGTCGCGACGACAATGAGGATGGTAAGTAAATCATTTGCAGACAGACACGTTAGTCAATGTTTGGGTTATGGTCATTTAAGTTATTCCTGCTGAAATCTATGTGTGTGCATTGTTTTGTCATGTAGTTTGTTTTTTTTTTTTCGTTTTGTGTATGCGTATTTGCCCAATACGTGGCAAATTGGCCAACATTTTAGCTACGGAACTGCCGCCGATCCCAACGAATTGTGATAAGGATGAAGTCGCCGCATTCATCGATCAGCTGGACCTGAGCAAGTACACGACCAGTCTACCATTGATTCGGAAATTGCGTGACTACTTGATGACTGCCTTTAAGACATTGTTAACTCAAGCAAGGGCTTCCCTCGAGAAATTAGCTCAGGAAAAGCGTGCTCAAAAGGCACATCAGATACGCGAAACAAGTGATATGATGAATCGCCTTATGGAGGACATGAACCGATTGCTTCACGAAGGCGAGCATGAGGAGGCAAATGGGATTGGACAGTTTCTAAACATTGATGTGGATTGCACAGCTGATTTGTCGCAATGGAGGAACTTACAGCAAATTGTGGTACCACAACCTTCGGAGGTCGCAGATAGACAAGTTCAGAGGACAAGCGGTCCAGACGGCGGTTTAAGACAAGGCAATGACATGACCGAAATACAAAACGCCGCATACAAAGTGTATCATCAGGTTGTGATCCGAGGTTACCAAACAGGTCAACGGCTGTATGATGAGAATCAAGGAGCCGTGAGAGAAGATTCTATTCCAACAGAAGACCAAGAACACCCAGGAAATTGTCAAGTGGACGGCTCTACTTATGGCGTGGCTAGATTTGTGCACTGGTTAAGTGAGGACTTCATCTCTCGGCATGAAATAAGGGCAGTACGATTTGGCAATCCGGATATGGTGTTTCAATCCTATGCCTGGCCAGATGCACCAAAGCCGCATATTTCGACGGTCTGTCAAAAAAGCATTTGCTATTCTCCGCCATTAATTAGGACACGCATAACATCGACTGTTGTAACCGAGCCAAGCAATTCGAGTAGTACGCAGGTCAGTAGTATGGTGAACCTGGCACGCCATCAGCGGTCGCAAAATCAGGAAACGCCAGATGCAGTTTACGTTAGTCGCTACAATGCCACTGGCGATGAGGGAACTCCCTGTTCCGCAACTGCCGTCCCGGGCAGACTAATGGCTATGAGGGCTTCGAGCACCCCAAATGAACATAACAGCGATCCAGGGTACTTAAACCAAATAAATAGTACTACTAGCTTTTCTTGCTTACCCTCTATGGATACTCTTTAGTTCCTTTTACCAATAAGCGGCTGTGTAGAAAAGGGCAGAATTCGAACATTTAAAGCTTACAACACCAAATTTAGCCAGTCACCGAAACATTTAATTGGAAATTTGATTTGACAGTACCCTAATCCAATATAAATTCAGCTTACTTTTCTATATGTATTTTCCATCCCATCCCTTATCTTCGTTTCCTTCTCTTCACCTTAAATGAATACATAAGCTAAGTAATGTCCGTTTCACAGCTTGTCTTTTATACCCAATTTGACCTACGAAGATGGCACCATACCATTATTGGCAACAGGCGGCTCTGCATCGACATCGTTGGGTCCATCACTGCCGGGGGAGCATTCATTGGGATTAGAACTGGATAGCGGCACTTTGGTGCTACCAGCTGATGCAGATGAAACCCGCGTAATCGGTCTCCCTGGATCAACAATGGCGCGTTCTAGGCTTGGGGGTCCTCCAGCATCAACTCCCTTACTATTATTCCGACCAAGACTGGCGGTCATTGACGAAGAGCATCATCCACGTCTTACCAGAGCGTCACGCGAGCTGCAGATGATCCCGTCGGAAGATACAACACTAAGCCAGCAACGTGAGTGGGGCTCGATTTTCCGTCCACGTGATCAAATCGTTAACTACGCCGAAGGTCCCCCACCTCGGCAAGCGCAGAGGGCTCGTCGCCCCTTGCGTTCACGCAGACGAGGTCCACGTAACCCTGCAGTTGCCAGTCCGCCGCTAACACCGGAACGAATTATCCGTCGCGAGGAAGCACTCCGAAGCAGCCGGCACATTGCAGCCACTTTTATGTCTAGCTTGCTACAGAACGCAGCTGGAAAAGTGGCGACTTCACGTCTGACAATGGTTCGTTCAGTGGAAGTGATAACGACCTCAATCGATATCAGCCGCAATGGACTACCGCAGATACAACCGACCACAGGAGCAACCAGCTCTCTAGAAGTTCCTCAGGCACCAAGATTATCGGATTTTGGGACTTATACGCAATCTGCAGCTTTCTCGCAGGAACTTGTAGCAGATCCCTTGGACATTTCTGCAAATGCATCAATTGATCAAGCAGCATTTGATCAAGTTTTGGCTATATCACCTCCCATAAATTCCACTCCAATAAGTCAGCATCCAATAGATATTTTTTGTCCTAAAAGCGGCTTTGAAATTGAAGCCCATATAATGGACAACTCAACTTCGATTCCACCTATGCCAATGGACGTTGACGAGGTCCCGATGGAGGTATCAAACCTTTTGGCTAATATGAGCGATAACGCTTATGTGACTGATGTACAGATGCTACCGGCTTTGCAATTCAATTCTTTGAATCTTGCCAGCACAGATATTATCAGCAATGCAGTAAGTCCCGCCGCATCGGCGTCTACAAATGATTTGCAAACGCTCAATAAGCGCAGAACATCAATGCAAAATCAACTGTATCGAGTGTCCATGAAGGATTTGGGATATATTTCACAGCACGCTAATGTGGTTCGTCTGATGGTAGATCGTCAAGAGGAACTTGGTCTACAGGGCAACTCACTGGGAAATTTAACGGAAAATATACGAGGGTCATTAAATTATAATACTATGCCCGCTGTCAAAGTGTACAATCCACAGATAATTCAGAGCATCCAGATGGACAAAATCAGAGTAGTTCATGGGCTCTTTGGAGCTCTAATCAGGCAGTCCCAGGTTGATATGCACAATGCACCCTTCATCCGGAACCGCCAAGATGCGGTGATGGCATATCGCTTTATACTTGAGCTTAAGACTGCAAATGTTATAAGTCTTAGCCCGGACGGTAGATTCTTCGGTCTTCTCTAAATGAAATAAAAAGCATTAAATATGATGATCATTTGATAATATTTTACTTAAATATTCGAATTAAGTTGTACATGTTATTAGAATTATATCCATTTTATTTTTCGAATCCGTTTTTAATCTTTATAATAAAATTAAAAATACATTCAAATAAATTTTGGGTTTCATTAATAATTATTACTAACTGTATTTTGTCTTCAAAGTTGCACAAATTCATGTTTATCAAAAATCAACATGTTTTCTAGGTGAAGAACGTCGTGGAGGACGCGGAGGAGGCTTCAATCGGGAGCGCGGTGAACGTGGCGAGAAAGGAGAAGGTGGTTTTGAGAGGCGCCGTCGAAATGATGATGATGTTAACAATAACAATGATATTATCGAAGACGGCGAGAAGAAGCGAGAATTTTACATTCCCCCAGAGCCGACTAACGATGCAACTGAGATCTTCAGCAGTGGCATTACTTCAGGCATTAATTTTTCTAAATATGACAACATTCCCGTTAAGGTAACAATACAATTTTAGTTAATAGATATTCAATGGGTTTATAACTGATTCTTCTTTAGGTGAGCGGCGAGAATGTTCCCAAAGCCATTAGGAACTTTGAACATGCTCAATTACGTGATATTATCAGAGAGAATGTTACGAAATCGGGCTACAAGGTTCCGACTCCAATTCAGAAAGTTTCAATACCGGTGATTGTCGCTGGCCGTGATTTAATGGCTTGTGCCCAGACTGGATCTGGAAAAACGGCTGCTTTCTTGGTGCCGATCCTGAGCAAATTGTTGGATGATCCACAAGATCTGGAAATCGGAAAACCGCAGGCGGTGATTGTATCCCCAACTAGGGAGCTGGCAATTCAGATCTTTAGCGAAGCGAGGAAGTTTGCTTTCGAGTCATACCTAAAGATCAATATTGTTTACGGTGGCACCTCGTTCAAACATCAAAACGAGTGCATTACCAAAGGCTGCCATGTGCTAATCGCCACTCCGGGACGGCTTTTGGACTTTGTTGACCGCGCTTTTATTACGTTTGAAGATACTCGTTTCGTTGTGTTGGACGAGGCCGATCGAATGCTAGACATGGGCTTTTCGGAAAGCATGCGGAAATTTATGACCCATCCGACAATGCGTCCGGAACACCAAACATTGATGTTCTCTGCCACGTTTCCAGAGGAAATCCAGCGTCTGGCTGGTGAATTCTTGAATAATTATGTCTTCGTTACTATTGGCGTAGTGGGCGGAGCTTGCTCGGATGTGCAGCAGACCATTTACGAAGTTAATAAGTTCGCCAAGCGATCCAAGCTAATGGTATGTGGACCTTATAATATTACATATATTATTATAATTTATTATTATTATTATTATTATTATTATTATATTACTTAAGGAAATCCTTCGCGAGCAAGCAGATGGTACCATTGTCTTTGTAGAGACAAAGCGTGGCGCCGACTTTTTAGCTTCGTTCCTGTCAGAAACAGAATTTCCAACGACCTCGATTCATGGCGATCGTCTCCAGAGTCAACGCGAGCAGGCCTTGCGTGACTTCAAGAACGGCTCTATGAAGGTTATCATAGCTACTTCGGTGGCGGCTCGTGGACTTGGTGAGTGAGAGGACGCTTACTTTCCTAAATCGAATTTCCTACAATTGTGTTTCATCTTGCTAGATATCAAGAACATCAATCATGTGGTCAACTTTGATATGCCCAACAACATCGATGACTACGTGCATCGCATTGGACGCACAGGTCGTGTAGGCAACAATGGACGGGCCACATCATTCTTTGATCCTGACCACGATCAAGCTCTTGCAGGAGACTTGATAAAAATCTTGGAGGGATCTGGCCAGACTGTTCCGGAGTTTCTACGTGACCTAGGTGGTGGTGGTGGCGGCGGCGGTGGAGGTTACTCCAACAAAAAGTTCGGTGGCGTGGATGTGCGTGGCAGGGTGAGTAAACATGGAAAACTTTTGGGTTTGCACTTTCAGCTTACTGAATGAATATTTGTATCATTCAGGGAAATGCCGTGGCCGAAGCTACCTACGCTGAGGCTGACGAGGAGTGGGATTAATTAAAAACCTTTGGACACAGGTGTTAAAATACTTGAACCTTAGCCACTAAAATAGACGGCTAAATCCATAGGCGATATATAATCACTATATAGTAGCCTAATAGAAAACACATTTAGGATATGCAAGCAAAAAATAACAAGCCGTCAGAATTTTCTATTTTTAATTTCCTTTTGCGACTCAATGTATAATAAAATTTAATTTGAAGAACATGTTCTAGTTCGAACTTTTTGTAATATTTGATCAACATCAATTTCGATTTGCACCAATTATTTTTATGAATGTATTAGTTGATTGCGTTTGATAATTAGCGATTGCTGGTAATATGCAAAATTTAACAGCAACTTGCAATTTGACCTCATCTAATACCATGTACTAGCATGTGTGTTTGGTTTTAAGTACTCATCCTTCGTGTTTCGTTGTTTGTTGTTTGCCTAGCCGTCCACTTGGCCCTTACGCTCTCTCGCTCTCCGTTGGAGCCGGCTTTTTGAATGCATGATGCCTCGCCCCGCCCTGCGTGCGCTCAGTCCGCCCCCAAAAGGCAAGGCGACCAACAAATGTTGCCCTTTTGCGTTTGCTGTCTTTGCAGAAGCAAAATCAATAACTGAGAAACCCACCACACTGCGCTGCTCTTCGTGTTGGGTTTTTAACTTCCGCAGCGAAGTGAAAGACATTTCAGTCTCTGACGGCATTTCGCAGCGCGCAAACACTTTCTTCGCGTCGCGCTCCGCATGACACATTTCCAAATAAAAGGAAAAAGCTGTAAAAGTAATACTGGTTAATTGCTTTCAAGTAAACGAATTATTACGATTAATGCGTATGGTTTGTGGCGTACGATAGTGTTCTTTCGATTAGTGATAAATGAAAACAGTGCCTCTTTGTTAATCTACAGATAGTTAACCTAAATGCAAAAAGCGATTATGAAATAAGCAAGCCATTTGGATTTTGTCTTTGTTTTCACAAGGGTTATTCGATTCATTGCTGTTCACGCAATTTGGCTGCAAAAAAAACCGCCTTGGTAGTTTCGCTTTCCGAAACGCATTTTGGATCGGTCCTTGTGGCTGTGCGTAATGTCTGAACCCACCCCATTTTACTCGGCAATGCTCCAACAACAGCGACCAACCCACTTTTACTAGCCACCACATACAGCAGCAGCAGTGGCAACAACAAAAGCGTCATTTTAGCCGGCAAAGGTTGGCATTCTTTCTTATTTTTAACACATTTCTCTGCGAATGGCGTGATGCTTCTGTCCGCCGTAACTTTTCCTCGAATCACGCACTAAATTCAAGCATTAACTTACTCTTCGAGATTGTTGTTAAGATCTTGTACCATGTCAAATATGGCTTTCTGTTGCCTACTTTTTGGGGTCATCGGATTCATTTCGTTTTATTGTAGTTCATGAGCAAACATGCTAAGCCTGTTGACGTGTGCCAATTGGTAAACAAAGAGTAAAACATTGAGAGCGGTGAAATAATCAAGCAAAGTAAACTAATTAAATATAAAATAAATCAGCAACGCATTTTGGCACAGAATGAGCCAAACTTTTAAAACTTTAATGCACGGCATCGAAGGAGACAGGGATGGAGTTTCGTACTCGGAGCAGCAGTCATCGGAGGATGTGCCGGACTCCACAGCGACAACAACGGCGACTTCAACAGCCGGCGACATTGGAGGCGGACCAAGGGATGGCGGCGAGGATGATTTCACCGATGACAACAACTTCGAATCAAATCTGCGACGTCGCAAAGGCAAAATAATATCCTGTGCCAAGGAGACCATCGAAAATGGTGAGTGCCAAATTCAGACCGAAAAACAAACTCCACAAAATTCGATTTCGATGTATATATATTTGAAGTCGTGTCCCACAACTTTTACCTACTATTTGTTTACGACTGCCAACGACTCCGGCAGATGAATATTTGAGTTTACCGCCTTTCCATCGTAGTCATGTGAAAAACAAACTTTCAACCTGTTCATTTGTCATTGGTAGACAATTGGAAATTGCTGGTTGTGAAATGAATGTGTAAATTTGGGACACGGCATTTTAACGTCTACAAAGCATGCACTATACAATTTTAATCGGCAGAGTTGTTTTGTTTAATGCAAAATATTAAAACCAAACAAAATGGGCTTATATATATATTTTTTTGCAATTTAAAAAAAAGTAAAATTTAAAGATAGATAAATCAAACAAAAAGGTGCGCATCAGTTTAACATGTGATTTTGAAGTAAAAGACACATGATATATGAAAGCTTTCTATTATTCTCACTAGAAGGTGAAATGGATTTTCCATCAATATGCTTAACCGTGTGCAAGTCGGTTAATAATTCAACATTTCCGTGCGTTTGTTCTCCCATGGGACTGACATCAAAGTTTTTAAATGGGCTGTGTTTTCGCACGACCCGAGCAACTATCCAATTACGCTGAAATTACTTTCAGATTGGCGCACATCCTGTCAGCAATAGACAAATAAAAGAAACTTTTGCATGCATTTTACTCAGACGTCGGTGTGCATGTAGATGGAGGGTAAAGACGCCCCATTGCCATTGTGCCACTTGAGTCCTTTGTGCAGCGGAGCTATTGAAAAGCTCCGCCGTCTGAGGGAATGCGCTGTTTGAATTATTTATGCGAAGATGACAAAGGAAATGCGCTTCGAGCCATGCATATCATTCATCGCCTACTGAACTGTCGGGTATTCCCCATTGGATTACTCTTTAATTGATTGGGCTGGCTAATTTTGAGCCAGCTTTCCTTGTCTTTTCCTGGCTTGTGGCACTACATTAGAAGCCAGCGGAGTGTGTGACTGGATAACCTAGTCTACTTCAAGTGCTTGCCTTTATTGCCACGTATGTGAGGAGTCCTGCACTCTTCTTCGCTTCTGTTTACTTGCTGTGACTAGCTTGAGGGTAGTTAATTAAATGCATTAGCCTTTATGGGTCAAGGTTGCGTGCTTGTAATGTGTGGGGTGTCTATATTGGATTGATGTCTGAACGGCATTTGTTATGATACAAAAAATATCTTCTAGTATAAGGGTTGGTTTTATTCATGTTTTCATTCCGTGACTTCCGTGACAATCAAGAAACAATGAGTTCAAGAAAATGTGTAACACCTAAAGTTGTTTGCTAACTTTAAAGCCATATAGATGACTTCATCATAGTTATACATTAAGTTGGCTTTAAACATATGTAATCATTAATCTTGTAAAATAATTCTTGCAATTTGCTGCGCTGACAAGTAGCATGTCCGTTTGAATTTCTAATGGAATCACACGGTCTCCCACTTCGTTAGCTGTGAAAATTGCACAACAAATTTAGCAGCATGTTGTGGCGTTTTTCGCGTAAGCTCATGGAGACTATATCCCAACCTCCCCATGATTGCTGGCCTCAATTGGCTCCTCATCAGCCACCCACTTGGTGTGCGAGTGTTAGGGTTCAGGAAGTACGCGGATTTACGTGTTGCCAAAATGTCAGACCTGACTTTTAAACTTTACTGGCAATCTGGGACGACCGAGTGACGTGGCCAACTTGCACACGCTGCTCCTCCCACGACGACCAACTAACTACCGCGAGTGTTCCATTAGCCGGCAAAACCATTTCACTGAAAATGCATTGCGTGCGCTAGGAATTAAAAGAAATTTTGGCCAACATCGTTGGAAGTTCATCGATTTTATTACGAGAGCTCACTGTGCTGCAAAGCGGTCTTCTGCTAATGGAATTGAACCATACTCATACTCACTCGCATATCTAACGTTGGCTTTTGTGTGCCCCATTTCTTTGCTCTTGGCTCTGTTGTCTAACTGTCTGCATTTGTATTCGCATTTTTTGTTTGCCTCTGCTAAAGATTGTTTTGTTGTCATTTTTATTTGCGTTATCTTCAGGGCATTGCCTGTAAATTTGTTGGTTTGGCTGCCATCGGCATCGACAGCTAGCTCCCCTGAATGTTGGGGGCATGGAGTAGGTGGCATTCAATAGATGCGCCATGATTCTGACAGTTAACCCCTTTTATGGCATTGTTGTCAGGGGTTCAAGTGGGAATTCGATTTGTTGTGCCCGCCATCGTTTTCAAATATTGTAGAATATTTAGTTTCATTGTGTGCTATAAAATAATAAACATAGTTCTGAAGCATAGTTGGGTTAATAGTTAAATTTTAAAGCATTTTGCGGTAGTTAACATTTTTTGACTTGTCTTCGTATATAAACTGCATTCATTCACTTTTGGTTCCTAGGGCAGTTAAGATAGTTTTAAATTAAGCTTTACTAAGAATGTTTACACATTTTAGATGTATATTTCGAGCAAAACAGCAGCTCATAAACAAAAAACCCGGCTAAATGTTTATTTAGTCGACTTTTTCTAGGGTTTTTCCTTCGACTTTATATAAATGGTTTTTTTTTCTAAGGAAGCTTATGGCTCAGCAAGGAGCACATACATTAAACCATGGATATAAAAGCTTTATTTGTGTCAGATTTGCAGTTTTCTTTCTCGGCTTTTGCAAAAAGAGACGCTAAAGGGGAATAAAGACATTCTTTGTGCTCGCTATCAGTTGCACTTGAACTTTGTGGCATATTCAAAAAAAAGGAGGTCGTTGCAAGCCCGACAATATCAGACCTTCCATAAAGCGTACAATATGCTTAACCATTATTTTTCCATTTACTTTGCCGGGATGAGAAAACTGATTTCAAAAACCAAAATAAAAATTTAATGACACTTTCATTGTTTGTGCTGCATACTTAATGGCGCTCAAGTGCGCATTGCACCAAAATTTCCTTTCTTCCGTTTCCTCAGAAAAATTGATGGCTGTTGCTTTTGCTTTTGCTATGCCGAAGAAATTAAATAGAACTGAGTGCTTAAGAAATACATGTGACCGACAATTCTAAAAGCGTGTTAATATATAAAAATATATGTATATATAGCTAAAGTCTATTATCTAGAACTTTTCCCCGACAACTTGGATAAAAGCAAGGCAAATTTCGCAATCTACTTATCAGCCGTATCTGGCATTGCAGTTTGTTTTTAGCGAAACCACAGTGCAGCTGAGAATCTTGATATGTAAATGCGTGGCAAGATGTGTGCACTTGTGGCAACTGAGCTACATATAGCCATTATACCAGCCAGGTTCTCTTGATTCGTGCCTGCCGGCTGTGTGCAGTTTTCCCGGGCGATGCAAGTTACAGGCAAACCGGATGTTTCTGGGTTTGTTGCCATCCGATGCATGGCTACAATATGCTTGGGCAAATCCTGCCTAAAACGCAGCTGACTGACACCCGATGTGGGATACTTACAGGTAAAGAAGTTGAGCTTGTCGGATTGCCGGCGAATGGCAATCCCAGCCATAATTCGGTTTTTCGGTTTGGATCCCTCTGTGTGTGTGTGTGGTGATGTTTTAAATTGTTAAATTCACCGTGGGCTTCTGTTACGATGGCATCGAGAGCAGCTCAATTTCCGTGGAAATCCCCACGTTGTTAGTTGGGTTTCAGCTGAATCGGGTAGCATTTTCATTTGCGTAGCAGTGCCTCGGTTATGGCATATAGCTTTGATTGGCTGCTAATCTGATTGGATTCTGTCGACGTTTTTCACTTTTTATGCAGAACGAGCTTAACAGTTTTTACAACAATAGGTTTGGTTATAAATAGACATTTTGGGTTCAATAAATTTTAAAGTCTGGTCAGCCAGCAATTGATGAGTTCTAGGTTTAAAGAGCAGTTGTATTACATCTATCGGTGCTTTCGTCTTAGTAAACTAGCACCTATTCAATCTGCATAACGTCTAACGACTTTTAAACTACATTTTCACGAGCACTGACCAAAGCTTGGGTTTCCAAACAAAGTATGAAAAGGTCTAGGAACGGTTACTGTCAGGGAGTTGGCATACATGGGTGGGCTGACTGAAAAGCCAGGCAATCTGACAATCTTACCTGCATTCCCGATGCGCATAACATTGTTGTCTTGATGATGCTCATGTCCGGATGGCTTGGCCGAAGCCGTAACCTGCTTTGCAGGAAACAATAGACGGTATAGACGGTGCACAAAACCCAATTCCATGGCAAAGGAAATCGCTCCTGCTCCAGCTATTTTCTGACAGACCTTCCTAGCACCTGAATCGCCCACGGCCCACGGCATTGCTCTTCGTTTGCTACTCAGCCAAAAAAAGCCACTTGCAAAGAGGAAAATGACTGTAAAGAAAAAGAAAAGCGTTGTCTGTATTTATATTGCATATGGTGGGGTTTTCCGCCGCGGGACTACTTGGCTGTAGTCCAAAATCGCAAATCCTTGAATTGCACGTCACTTGACATGTGTTCCCCAAAACTGAAAGTTTTCCAAACACCATTTCTATGCTCGAAACAGCACCAATAAAAACATTTCATAAATATATATTAAGTATGTGTACATACCAATTGAATATATTTTTCTAAGTGAAAGTTTGTCGCAGTGTAGGTATATATATGTATATTTAAAAGTCGTGCCGCAAGTGCACTTTGAAATTCTGCCGAAAACGGCAAAAATAGAAATTGAAAAATCAATGGGGGCAAGTTGAAGTTGAATGTGTTTACTGTCTGCGGAAGAACTTTATTAGATCCAGTTCGAAACTGTAAGAAGCCTTTAATATTGGCATTTTGGGTTATTTTCGTTTTTTATTTATTGGACCAAAAAAGTTTCTATGTGATGTAAAATTTCAATACACTCTTAAATTTATCTTCATACATTCGAGTGCTCTTGCCATGCGATGAACCCCAATAAGTATGCTGTAATTTCAATCAACTTATGGCCTAAAAACGAATAAATATTATTT